GGACACTAGGCTGGGTGGTAGCAGTACTCTATATTTTGATTGGTCGAAAGTCATTGACTTGTACACTTAATGTCAGTGCATTTTCTTTTATGTATTTGTACCTCACTGACACATACACATGCACACACAAACCTACAGAAACGTTTGAAAGTTTCCCCTTCTTCCCCAATCTCATTCCCTTCTTCAAAGGTAGCCTTACAGGCTGATGTGGGGTCTCTAGGATTTCCATTTCTATGCATGCTTGTATATATCCATCCAAACAGGCTGTTTAAAATACTTTATGATAAACAAGATCAGACTATATGTATTATTCTACTTCCTGCTTTCTTTTTACTTTATTAATTTTTAGAGAGAGGGGAAGGAAGAAGGAGAGAGAGAGAGAGAACATCGATAAGAGAGAACATCAATTGGCCACCTCCTACGTGCCCCCCACTGGGGATTGGGCCCACAATCTGGGTATGTGCCCTGACTGGGAATCGAACTGGTGACCTCTTGGTGCATGAGTCGATGCTCAATCACTAAGCTACACTGGCCGGGCTCTGCTACCTGCTTTCTTTTTCAATTAAGAGTTTTTCCATCTGCATACTTCTTGGCTAGTTTAGGGCTCCATAGTGTGCATGCACTTGATCATTCTATCAGTTTCTCTGTGGGTGATCAGGTGGTTTTCGAATGGTCACATTGCAGCACTGGAATGAAAACGTCTGTACAGGTCTATCAGCCGGCATTGTTGTAGGCACCTTCCTAGCAGTGGGTCTGCTTGGGCAAAAGGTATGTGCACTTGGGTAGGCTCTGCCAAATTGGTTTCCAAAAATGCCTTCGTCAGTTGCCTGCTCCTGACCACGGATGAGAGAGCTGGGTTCCTGCCTCCTTTCTAACGGTGGGTGTCGCCCATCTTCTCACGTTTTTGAGAGCAAATGGGTAAAAATGGCATCTCGCTTCTGCCGAGATTTTAAAGGAAGAGGAGGTTTGGTTTTCTCTTTTATATACAAATACATACAAGTCCTTGGAGAAGCAGAGGCATCTCTTGGCCCACACTCCCTGCCCTGTGATTCTAGCAGCCTCAGAGCCTGAAGTGCTCTCACCAGCAAGTGGGGACACATTCTGATTTTATTTAACTGACTATTCGAGTGAAACTAGCAGGAGTCTGTCCTCTCTGACATTCTTTATTTAAAAAAAAAATTATTGATTGATTTTAGAGAAAGTACAGGGGGTGGGGAGGGAGGGAGAGAGAGACCTTGGTGTATCGAGACAATGCTGCAACCAACAGAGGCACCTGGCCAGGGCCAACATTCATTCTTAATATAGTATCCATTGTTGACCTGCTGGAATTTTTTAGTTAATCCAAATTTCTTAATAATGGCTGAATTTCAAACGTGACATGACTTGAGACTGGTCAATTTAGGTCAAATGTTAAAAACTGACCGTACCACTATACTTTCAAATTACACCCCAGTGATTGCTTTTTTAAAAAATTTGCATCTTGGACCTGTTTTTTATGGTGTTTTCCTGGAGAAAGAAAATCACTCCAAAATTACTTTTCCCCCCCAAACATGGAGAGGTCAGTCTCTGGCGGTCTTGGAACCCGAGTTGCGTGGGAGGTGGGGTTTGGGAAGCTGGTGTCAAAGACACTTTCTTCTCAGGCAGTACCGTGAGCGGGCGGTGGTCTGCACCCGCGGAGCTCCACCTCCGGGTTCAGAGAACGGAGAACTGTACTGAGCTCTGCATGATTTATGCGGTGTGGGTTTACTTCTGCAGGTGGGGAAAGACGTGCGACCAAGAGGTCACTTACAGATCTTGTTCTTGGAAGTGCTGAAGTTAACAAGCAAAACTCACCGTGGTCATGCCTTCAACAAGTGTCTAGTGAGCTTGTGGGAGGGCATTTTCTCTTCTCCAAGGGATCTAATGCTTTTACATTTTATGACTTTTCTACCTGCCTCTACTCTCTCGCCCCATCCATTGTCCTGGGCTTCCCTGACAGTCACCTGAGAGGGGTATTGTCCAGTGGGTGAGGCGCTCACCTGTTCCCATCCCACTGTCCTCCTTCCCGCCTCCCACCCCTGGGAGAGCAATTCTTCCTTCCCATTGGGACTTTCAGGTAAGCTCTGCTAGAAGAAAGAGTTCTACTCCTGGAAATGTACTCGAAAACCCCAGCAATCCTACGCTCGTCGTATGTATCTCTTGATATTCACATGTACAAAGACGAGATAATCATCCTCATCACTTCACCCAGACTCTAAGCTGTGCCATTCAAAACCCCGCTGGTCTTTCCCAGTCTCTGGTGTCCTAAAGTAAGGCAGGACTCGAAGCAGTGGTTGGAGATCATGGCAGGTGCCTCGGTCATAGTGTCTGAACTTCAGTTTCCTGTTTTTCTTAGCTACTCATTCTTCCTTTCAAAAATGTTCATAGCAGTTTTAGTTTAATAACTAGAAACCCGGAAAAGCTTCAAATATTGATCGACATGTGAATATTTAAACAACCTTTGGGATAACCATATATGGACTAGCTGTTGACACTGATAACTGCATTGTTAATTAATAGCAATCAAAACGCTGTTCTGAGGGAATGAAGGCAGACACAAAATAGCACATACTGTGTGGTTCCATTAATCTGTAGCAACAGAGGGCAGATCTTGCCAAGCCTGGGGGTGGTGACAGGGATTCATTGTGAAAGGGCACTGGGGAGCTGGGGTGACGCAGAGGTTCTATATCTTGATTGTGGTGGCAATTACATGGGCGTAATAAATACATTTGTCAAAACTCACTGAACTGTACATCTGAACTTGTATATTTTCTCGTATTAAATTATATATCATGAGCTGATTGCTGCTCATTCTTAATTCAGGAAAGTTTTAAGGGCTGCATGGATTTGGAGGTTTTTTTATTTTTTCCTTTTTGGATTAAAAACACACTGCAGCATCCCAGAAAGTAAGGTCTGCTCCGGGAACTTTGTGGGAGTTCTTTCACTGAGCAAATGATGTTTGCAATTATAATCTGTTTTATTTATCACTGGTACTTGAGGGGAAAACATTTAGCAGTTAGTTCTATTTAAGGCTGTGCTTCAAAGTAATAAAAAAGTATTTCTGTATAAAACATGTCCTCTAATTAAATGATCTCACTAGTAATACTGACCTCTCCATCACGCCCTATTACTATGCACTGACCTTACCGTCCAGGGGACTGGAAATTGTGCTTGCCCTGGTTAGTGTGAGCGCTGGAACTCCTACACCTTTGTTCAGTTAGGAAGCAAGAGGTCATTCTCAACTCTTTCTACCAGAAGATGCTTCCCTAATAGTAGATTAGCATGTAGGCTTGCTGGTGGTTTCATGTGTGTACATTACTATATCTGGTAAAAGCAGGGAAATACCAGGCCGAAATAATCCAATCCAAAAACGACTGAGGGGATGGTTATTCTATCTTACCTTATATCCTCTTAATTAGTGTCGCCAGGCATATTTAAATCACTATGTCAGTTGGTTCTGTAAATATTTACAGGGCCAATGTGTTCAGAATATTTTTATTAGCAGAGTTCCTTATAGAAGATTTTTCAGCTCAAAAAATAATTCTCTTGAACTTCTTTTCCTTGGAGTAGGAGGGAGTATATATATATATATATATATATATATATATATATATATAAAAAATTTAATGTGCACTAGAAATAAGTTTCTTGTTGCGAATGCTTCCGTTTGATTATTAATCATTTCATTTTGGCATGTGTGTTGTTTATCATCTCATTCATACTTCCATAAGGAAAGTGATTCTCAATATGCTTGCCGGGACTCAGGGCTCAGCAGCAGTGGCTGACTTAGCAATGCCGGGGAGAGTGGGTGTAGGGGTTCGAAGGACCTCAAATGATTCTGCTCTGCAGCCCTTCGTTTTTGGAATCACTGCTCCTGCGCCCTCTGTCCTGCCCTCCTGCCTCCTCACATGTTGGATTAGATTTATAACAGCTGCCGTGGGCATGGTGGCCTAAATCTGTGGAATGTTTTGCTAAACGCTGCTGGTGAAATAGTCCACATTAGGCCTGGAACTACCCCCCACTTCCGCCCCATTTGTGTTAACCCTTTATCCTTAGTCTTTTACTCACTTGATCACTTTATGATTTTTGCACTTTGACATCCTATCAATTCATTAAGAACTTTTAGTCCAAGCACTGGGGCTTTATTTAACATGATGATTAGCTAACGTGTTATTCTGTTTGAACTAAGTGATGACAATGTATTTGATTGGAGCCTTGTAATTGTTATTTTTAAATCAAAGTAATGGATTATGATCTCAGAATATAACATGATCCAAAAGAATAATAATAATTAGAACAGCAAGCACGTAGAAGGAAATAAATGTCCCATCACAGACCACAGGGCCCTGTGTACCCTGAGTCCTGCCTACCTTTGCAGCTCCGTCTCCCACCCACCCCATCCCAACCCGTCCTTCATTTTGGGGTAGCATCCCTGCAGCCTCCCAGTTGTTACAAGTAGCCAGGTCCTTTCCTGCCTTGGGAATTATACTTGCTGTTCTCTCTACCTGGGGGCTCCTTCACTGGTGTTTTCTTGGCTGGTTCCTCTGAGTCTCACACACAGTTTGTTTCCTTAGGGAGGTTTCCCTGGACACAGTGACTAAAGTCATCTGCTCCACCCCGCTGCCTGTCCACACATGCAGTGCACCTCATCTCTCACACATGCTATTTATTTCCTTCAACATTAGGAAACCAAAGTTGTATCTATCTCCTTGGTCCTCGTCTGTCTCCTCTACTGGACTCTAAGCTCCATGAGGAGGGTGAAGACTATGTCCGTCGTATTCACCACTGTGGCCCCGGTGCCACCCTGGTACCTGGCATTAAGTAGGTGCTCAATGCCTATATGTGATTGAATGAGTAGACTATTTTGAAGTCCCAACTTTTCCTGAACCCATATCAATACAGCCTATACTTAGCACTTCTGTTGTGATAACATGTGATCTCCCAGGGGTTGAATTTAACCAAGCTGTGCTGACTTTTCTCAGGCATATGAAGGATCAGAATAAGAAGGTGGCCAACCTCAAGCACAATCAGCAGCTGGAAAAGAAGAAGAATGCCCAGCTGCTGGAAGAAGTCCGCAGGCGAGAAGACAGCATGGCCGACAACTCACAGCACCTGCAGGTGAGCCCAGGCTTCTCCTCTTACTCCTTAGATAACGAGATTGACTCTCTCCGACGTGTCCACGACTGTGGGAAAACGCGCGCAGGAACGGGGGGCGTGCCTTTGCTGGGGCTCCAGCTCCGACAGCATTCTCCCGGGGCATCCAGGAGGTCTTCGTGGCGAGGAGCTTCATTTCCACACAGTGTCCAAGAAAAGCTGCTTATGGTGGAGCCAACTGATGCTTCACAGATTCTCTTGGTTCCCATGCCTAACCTTACAGCTAAGGGCTGTGTTTATATGGTTGGCAGGAAGCTGAAAACATAGAAAGGTCTTCCTTTTAGAATTATGGAAGTTGTTTTGGTTTTCATAGAAGAGAAATGTGTGTGTAGTGTCACAGAAGGTATTCGGGAAAGGATGCATGAAGTTGATCTCAGTTAACAAAACTGGTTTTGTTTTGCTTAAAACTCTGATGCTCTGAGACGGGTCATTATTCTATCTTCTCGGTGGAAAGTAGTTATCTGTGCATGGATGGCTCTCAGAAACCAACAGACCAGCTGAAAACACCAATTTTTCCTCATTAACCATTCCTACTTTTGGCAAAGGAGTCCCCTCCATGTGCTCAATAAAACATTCACGCTAAAACGAGGCATTTGCTTTGAAGTCCTCTATGTATTCCAGTGTGCCTTTAAACAGAGCAGTTCAAGTTCAAGTTGGCTGGAGTTCATTTTAAATTCTGCTTATTAATTAGTGTCTTTCTTCAGTTATATATTAGGTTTCCTCCTTGTAGATAGAAGTTAGATAATTTCAATATGTACTCATAGTTCATCTTTTTAATTGAACCAGAGAGAAATACATTATTCCAGAGTAGGAAATACAAGGAAATGCCTTGCACAGAGCATGGCACGGGGGTTCCTTAGCGGTAGCTTCTTTGTCCTCTGTGTCCTGGAGGTGCCTTGATGTTGGCAGGCAAGCCTCTTCGATGGACCCTGCTTTGGGTGCAGTGTCGGAATCTCCTTTGTTCAGTCCGGGCACCACCCTAGTTAGCATGGACTGGCAGCCTGTTCGAATCCACAGCTTCGGTGTTGTTGGCATATTTCATCTCAGGCTTTGGAGTCTTCGTTTCCGATGAGTCATATGAGACGTCAGCTTGGAGCCTACAGACTGAGATAACAGTTAACTTACATTTGTATGACATTTTATTGCCTTGCCAGGCATATATTCTCATTTATTCCTCACAAAAAAGTTGGTGATTTCACATATGGGAAAACTAGTCTCAGAAAAGTAATGAAATGACATCCTAGTGTGGGGTGGAGATAAACCTGACTCCAGGTCTTCCACCTTCGAGAAACGAATGTAGACGAACAGTAGCAATAGTAGGTACCATTTATTACATGTTTCCATATGCTGGGCACTGTGCTATTTATTTTAAAGAAGCTATTTAATTCTTATGTCACCTGGGGTAGTCGGAACTCAGAGTTGCAAGTGACAGGAACACAACTCAATTTGTACTAAGCAGAAAAGGGAACCTGTTGGCTCAGGTAACTGAGAAGGCGAGGGGTGGATTTCAGACGTGACTTCGCTTAGGTATGCAAACTGTGGCCTCAGGAGTCGGCCTTGTCCTACTCACAGGTGTGCTTTGCTCTCTGCTGCCTCGATTCTCAGGAAGGCTGTGCACAGTGATGCCAACAGTGGCCACCAGTGGCCACCACAGAGTCTGTGAGTGCAGTCTCCCCAGGGCAAGGAGAAGCGTTCTTAGTAGTCCTAGACGAAGCTCAAAGGCTGATAGAATGCATGAATTGACTGGGCCGTGATCGGGCCGTGTGATCCCCTGCAGCCTCAAGGACAGGGCTAGCGAGCCTTACCCAGAGCCCATGGGCTGAGAGCGGGGGTGTTGATTTCCCACAAGAAAGAGAGTTCTGTTACCAGGCAGGGAAGACAAAGGATGTGGGGAGAGTTCTGGAGAATTAAGAGAGGAAGGCAGGAAAACTTTGGAGTGCAGAGAGTCTTTGTGTAACAAGTGGGATTGGAGCTGAATGAGTTTGACGGGGGAGGAGGACGATCGCAAAGGTACTGAGGTTGCACAGAGCACGGTATGTAAGGACACAAAATGACAGGCCAATTGATGGTCGTGACAATAAGGTAAACATTGTTGCTATATTCCTTTAACTGATTGTGGAGCTAGAATGCCTTGGATTCATTCCAAGCTTCAGAATTTTCTAGCTGAATGTCCTTGGGCAGGTTCCTTAACTTCCCTAAGACTAGTTTCCTCATCTGTAAAATGGGAATAACAATTGCATCTACTCCAGAGTTGTTGTGAGGATGAAGGTGTCAATGCAGCCCTGGTTGGTGTGGCTCAGTTAGTTGGAGCATCTTCCCATACTCCGAAAGGTTGTGGGTTCCATTCCTGGTCAGGGCACATATGGAAGGCAACCAATTGATATTTTCTCTCACATCAATGTCTCTCTCTCTCTTCCCCTCTTTAAAATCCGTAAGCATATCATCAGGTAAGGATTAAAGAATAATAATAATAAATTAAAGTGTCAATGCATATAAAAAATTTAGGATTGTACTTGAGACAAGCTATGCTAAATAAGTGTTAATGATTAATTGTTATAATAACAAGGAAAAGGTAAAAGAAACATTTAAAAAATTGTGATGCACATGAGTATTTATACAGTTTTACTCTGATATGCATTGAGCATCAAAGTTTTTGTCTTTTCTGTATATAGTAATTTTTTCATTTCCAAGAACACATTCAGTTATGGAAATTAATGTCTTGTTTTGACCCATGAACTTTTGTACAGCAATATTTTCATAAGGGGCTATGGTAACTACCTCATAGACCTATTCATAAAAGATAGCATGGTCTGGAATTGCTTAGTTGCATTCCTGACCACCCCAAATAACGGATAGCATTTGAAATGCAATAAAAAGTAATCACGATTAATTTTGATGAAAATGTCTCTGGTTAAGGTTAATGGAGAGTGAAACTCCCACTTTCCTGGATTGTGAAGCAGATGTACTCAGATGCAGCAATTACTGCCTTCTGAAGGCAGAACTTTCCTTTCTGGGGGCACTTGATTTTTTAATACTGCTGTTGTTTTAAGTGCTTCCTGTTTATAAGTTAGCCTGTTAAGCCCTTTAGGTTTCAGTCACCTGGGATCTGTTTTAGTCGATGGTTTGGTTGATTGGTTGATTAGTTGGTGGCTATGCAATTGGCACCTACAAAATTTGTTTTGTTCGACACCAGTATTTTGTAACGGTTGGACACCCTGGCTTCATGACTCCAAACAAGCAAGTAGGTTGTTACATCCAGAGTATTGCCTGAAACAATAATGGCTTTTGGCTCATGTTCCAAAGAAAGATTGAAGAGATTCAACTAGTTGGTATGAGAATTGGAGACAAAGGATTGGGGCAATGCAGTCATTCAATCCGTCAAAAGAGACAAGGCTTGGAGAAATGATTCTGTTTTATAAGAGAAACAGTAACAGCCCTGGCTGGTTTGGCTCAGCGGTTAGAACGTCAGCCCCAGACCAGAGAGACGAGGGTTTGGTTCCCTCAAGGGCACGTACTTCGGTTGCAGTTTGTCCCCGGCCCCGGTTGGGGTTGTGTGGGTGGCAGGCAGTCGGTGTGTCTCTCTCACATCGATGTTTCTCTCTCTCTTCCTTCCTCTCTCCTTCCCACTCTATCTGAAGATAAATGCAAAAATGTCCTCAGGTGGGGATAAAAAACAAAACAAAAACAATAACATAAACATAGTGGAAAAACTACCGCTGCAGTGGCCTGAGTGTGTGGATGTAATAGAAAGTGGTGGAGACCGTGGGGAACCCAGAGTCCGTGCCTCATCAAAAGGAGTAAGTAGGGACCTCTAAGTTTGGGCTGACTATTGCCATAATGATGGGCCTAGGGTCAAGGGACCTTCTGATTGCCATGCATGGGAATCTTTATGTGAAATCTGTGAATTTTAGAAAGTTCAGTGGTTTTAAACACCCTGTGGGTGCAACGAAGCACATGTGCAGGTGAACTGACCACTGGTTTGTAGCCTCTGTTGCACAGCCTGATGCTCCATTCCTACTGGGTTCACACGCTGTAAATAAAGAGCCTAAGAATGCACCCTAGCTAGCTCATCTTGACCCGCCGAAGAGAGGTGGCAGTTCAGCACTTTTGTCCTGAGTTCTTTGCTTGTCTGAACTACTTTAGTTGGAGACTAATTACTTGAGTAAGGCAGGGAACCCCTCTGACCTCACCTTTTTCATCTGCAAGTGGGGATTACAATGTGTACCTTCCTGGGTGGGTCAAATAAGATGAAGTTCCTGAAGAGCCCAGCGCAGTACCTGACCTACATGGGGTTCCGTTGCTAGAGTTTCTTCCCATGAGAGACTGCTGACCCTAGAAGACAGTGCCCATTGGAAGTGTCGCTCAACAAATCCTTTTTACTCTGATGAGGAATACAGATCCGGAGCACACACTGGTAACGAAAATTTCCAATAAAGCATTAAAAAAACATTTTGGGCAATAGGGAGGAAAAATTAAAACATTTTTCAAGTTTCTGTCGAAGTATGTGTGAAAAATAGACGCGAAAGACTGATTTTCTTGTATAATTTTGTAGAACCTTTCCCCAGGACACAGAATGTGGCACATGATATTTATGTCTGTCTTTGGGTCTTGGGTCTTCCTGGTGTCCCCTTAGAGTCCACGTGGAGATTTTTCAACAAGGTGTCTTTCCGGAGATTCACACTAAATTGTCATTACCGGAACGGGATGCATGTTTTCCCCTCCAACCTCTAGCTATTTCTTGCTGAGTAAATATGCCAATGTGAAATCCCAGGGGACATCTTTGTAGATTCTGGCCGCATTTTTCCCTGTGCAGCTTATCAAGTTAATGAACTAACATTCTAAGAAGTGCACAAGCCAATATTTTATGCTCCTTTTCTGTTGTATGTCTGCAGAATTCTCTTCAATTTATTGCCTGAAAACTAAAGTCTGTTCTTGTGTGCTTCCGTTTCCAAATTATAGGTTCC